GTTTTCTCCAAGAAGTTCATCCACATTTGAGACAAGGCTTAGCCTGCTTGAACTGGTTTTAGTGCTTTGGAAAGCAGAGAAAACATAGCCATTTTCCACTCACCTTGTTGAGCAACTTCAGCCGTGAAAGAGCATTTTGGTTGATAATAAGTCCCTGTCTTTCAAAACTCCCCAGGTGTTCTTTTATGGAATCCTTCTTGGAGAAAACCAACAAACTCAAAATGTCCAGATCTGCTGCTACATCTCCATTGTGGTCCAAGTACAGTTGAAACTGGGAAAAATTGCAAAACTCATTCTTCTTCAGAAAGGTATGGAACTAAAATGGAAACATGCAGGAAGTTTAACAGTAGAAACATACATTTCTTATCCTATGTGGTCTTTTCACACTGATTCTTCCTTCTATAGTTGTTTATTTTTTTTAATAAATAATTTTTAGTGATAGTTTTAATCTTCTATACTTGTTTAAATTGCAGTTGTGTTTAGTGGAGAGAACAAGTGTTACTACTATGATAAATATATATTGACAATTAAATAATAAAATGGGCCAAATATGGAAGACATTCTGGAGCAGGAGTATCAAACTCAATTTCATTAAGGGCCGCATCAGCATTGTGTTTGACTTCGGGAGGCAGGGTAGGGGTGGCCAGCTATATGTCACTCATGTCAGGATGCCTGTAATGACCCAAGAGCTCTGCCAGCAAAAATGGGCTGTTTCCAGGGTGGCCCTCTGGGTCTAAGCACCACGCGGGCCAGATACAGCCGCCGGGCCTTGAGTTTGACACCCATGTTCTAGAGCAAACAATTTGAGGGAAGTACAAATTCTTCATAATCTCCTTGAAAGAAATAGCTTAGTCTCAATTAGACCATAAAGGAAATACTTCCAAATGAGCTAATTCTAAACTGATGCTAGATTAATAGAAGTGTGTAAAACCTCAAACCAGCTCATTGTATAGCCTGAAAATTTAGGGTGGATTCTTTCTGTGTTTCTTTCTCTATCCATTATACACCTCCTTTCTGATAATAGCCAGCATCTCTTCCTTCACCCCCAAGATCATTTCCATATATCATTATATTTGCTTAATAGATTTGCTTAATAGATTGTGGGAATGCTGATGATTTAATCTTGATTTCAGCAAAGTATTAAAAATTACTTCTTGATGTGATCATTAGGAATATAGTTAAATATGGCAGAGAAAAGTTGATGGTGGATAAAAGCGGATTAAAAACAAGACTGCATTCAATAATTTAATGTTCCTTATAAAAGTGAGGAGTTATGAATGACAATTAGCCCTTGATCTTCTGTTCTATTCTTTATATTTTTTTGTTAATGCAGACAGTTGAAGTTCAACACATTTCTAGGCTACATAAACAGAGGGGTAGAATCAAGATCACCTGAAATGTTAATACCAGTTTATAATGCCTTGGTTTCGCCACACTTGGAATACTGTGTTCAGTTTGGTCGCCATGATGTAGAAAAGATGTGGAGCCTCTAGAAATAGTGCAGAGAAGAGCAACCAAGATGATTAGGGGACTGGAGGCTAAAACATGAAGAATGGTTGCAGGGACTGGGTATGTCTAGTTTAAGAGAAAGAA